AGGGAGGGCCCTCTCGGCTGACTTAGAGAGGAATCGGTTGAGGGCCGCCAGGCGACCCGTCAACCGTTGAACTTCTTTGACGTTGCGTGGGGACTCCATGTTGATGATGGCCTGAATCTTCTCGGGGTTGGCCTCTATACCCCGTCGGCTGACCATGTAACCCAAGAACTTCCCTCCCTGCACGCCGAAGGTGCACTTCTTTGGATTTAGCCGGAGGTTGAATTTTTGCATGATGGCGAAAATCTCCCGGAGGTCGTCGGCGTGAGTGCCTGCCTTCTTGCTTTTGACGATCATGTCGTCAACGTAAGCCTCCATGGTGCGTCCTAGGACAGCTTGAAAAACCCTAGCCACCATGCGTGTGTAGGTGGCGCCTGAATTTTTTAGACCGAAGGCCATCACAAGATAGCAGAAGATGCCTTCGGGTGTCATGAAGGCAGTTTTTTCAGCGTCCTCCTCATACATGTAGATTTGATGATATCCGCGGAATGCGTCGAGGAATGACATGATTTCACATCCCGCGGTCTCGTCTACCAGTTGATCAATGTTTGGCAGTGGGAAGGGGTCCATGGGGCACGCCTTATTCAGATCCGTGTAGTCCACGCACATACGGAAGGTAGGGGGCTTCTGTGCGAGGACTACGTTTGCCAACCAAGAAGGGTATTTCACCTCCTTGATGTGCTTGATGGAGAGGAGCATAGCTACTTCATTTTTCACGAATTCCCTTCTCTCGGCCGAGAGGGGTCTTCTCCGCTGTTGTACTAGTTTGGCCGAAGGGTCCACCGCTAGGCGGTGGGTGATGACCCTTCGGTCAATTCCTGGCATATCCTCCGGCCCCCATGCAAAAACAATGGAGTAGGCGCGGAGGGCTTTGGTGATGCCAGCCTTCAAGTCTTCGGGGAGCTTGGCTCCAATCTTCAGGACTCTCTCCGGCTTGGCCGGATCGAGTATCAAGTCTTCGGTCTCCTCGGCAGGCTCAGCCCTCGGCCTACCTTCTTCTTCCTCCAGGGCCTTGGCGGTGATGGTGTCAATTCGAAATTCGGTTTTACTAACCTTCTTGGTGAGTTGAAGGTAGCAGGCCCTGGAGAGCTTCTGATTCCCCCTCGAGTAACCGATGCCGGTAGGCGTGGGGAACTTGAGGCAGAGGTGCCTCATGGAGATGACGGCCTCCAAATCTTCGAGGGCAGGCCGGCCGAGGATGATGTTATGCGCGCAGTCGAGGTTGACGACGACGAACTCCACTTTGAGCTTGGCTCTATGGGATCCGTCGCCGAATTCGACCATGAGTGTGATGACGCCCTCGGCGTCGATGCTGTCCCCCGTGAATCCGGAGAGGGGGGTGTTGATGTGCCGAAGGGACCCCCTGTCGAGTCCCAATTCTTGAAAGGTGTTGAGGTACATGACGTTGACAGAACTCCCCGTGTCAACATAAGTCCGGAGGATGATGGCGTCATTGATTTCAGTGCGGATGACGAGGGCATCTCTATGCGGCAGAGAACCCGAGGGTAGGTCTGCATCTGTGAAGAAGATGGGTTCCCCCCTCGGCCTCTTAGTTGGGGGCACGTGGCTGACCTCCCCAACGTAAAGGGATTGAGCCCACTTCTTCCGCTGGCTGGTGGAGTCTCCACCAGTGTTGCCACCATTAATCATGTGGATGTGGCGCTTGTATTGTTGGTGGGAGCCCTCTCCCTCGTCATCGAGGCCCCCAATTTCACGTTTCTTCCCCTGTGGGTTTCCCAAAGGAATGGTGTTGGGGTTCACCCACTTGTTTGCCTTCGGCGGAGGGCCTTGATGATGTGGGGGGCCCTGGGGAGGAGGGCCCCGGACAAACTGAGACAAGTGGCCCGCCTGTATCAGCCTCTCAATGGCGTTTTTCAGCTGATGGCAGTCGTCGGTTTTGTGTCCATGGTGGCGGTGGAAGCGGCAATAGGGCTCATCAGGACCAATGGCATAAATCTCGAGGGGTGTACGGGAGTCTCGCTCCACCAGCCCTCGTCCTTCTGCATGGTCCAAGATGACGCTGACGGGGTGCGTCAGGGGAGTGCGTGGGTGCTCCAGGAGGACGGGTTGCGCCCATGCCTCCGGATTATTCTTGTAACCGCCCCCGGGTCTGGCTTGGCCACCTCGGGAGCGATCGTTGTACTGTGGCTCTCGGTTGGTCGGAGGGGGAGGCCCTCCGGGCCGGTTCCTACCTTCATTCTTCTGAGAAGGATCCGTGTTGCGGCGGTCCTTCTCGATTTCCTCCGCTTCAGCATATCGGTCCCCCCGCTGAAGGGCCTTTGTATAATCGCGGGGGGGATCAGTGATAAGGCTCCGGGAGAAGTTACCGTTGCGGAGGACGGTGTGGAAGAGGGCCATTAGTGTCCTGTCATCAGCGCCTTCGACCTCGAGGGAGGCCTGCCTCCAGCGTTCCAGGAAACTCCGAAGGCTTTCCTCCTTTTGTTGCCTCACATTCAGAAGATGGGAGAAGTGTTTCTTTGAGCGGTGCCTCCCGGCAAATTGTGTGAGGAATCGGTGGGCAAGTTCCTGCCAGGAATCGACGCTGCCTTCGGGCAACCGGTTGAACCACTCATACGCTGGCCCCTCCAAGGTGGAAAGGAACCAACGGCATAAGTATTCATCCGAGGCCCCCATCATCATCATGCTGTTCTGATACCTGCTGTAGTGTTCTTGGGGATCTGTTTTCCCTTCATACGGCTTGATAGGTTGCCCCCGATATTTGTGGGGGATTTTGGCCGCCAACACCCTTGGGGTGAAGGGTGTTCTAATGCGGAGTTGAATGAGGGGCTCGCCGGAGCCTTCGGCGAGTTTACGCTTCATTTCCTCTACCTGCGCCCGGAGGTCAGCGTACTCCGGATCTGGCCTTGCCGTGGAAGCCGTCGGGGGCGCCTGGCGGTTCTCCTCGAGTTGACGGAGGAGGGCTTCAATGATTTCATCCTTGGGATCCTTCGGGGCAACCCCTTGGGAGTTGGCCCGGAAGGATTGCGCCTGATTGATTTGGTGTCTGGCGTCATCGGCATGGAGGAGGGCTTTGCCTTTGCTTCGGGGGGGAGGCACGCCCTCGGCCCCCGAAGCGGAGGCTCCACTCTCCTGGGGCCTGCTGATTTCCTGTTTGCCGAGGCGGTCTTGGACCCCTCGGCGCCCGGGAGCTCCCCCAAGCCTCTCGAGTGCAGAGGTTCGGGGTTTCTCCTTCATCATGGGGCGCTTGTCCCTGGATTGGGCCTCCTGGGAGGCGGTATCCTGTGCTATGATCCCCTCGGCATTGCCAACCCCCGGGGAAGGGTTGTTGAACAAAGGAGGGAGTGGCGGTAGGTTGATAACATTCCCTCCAGCGTAGGACTGAAGGGGTGCCTGAGAGGCGAGGGCTCCGGAATTGAGAGCCATGTTCTGAACAAAGGCCGCAAAGGCAGCCTGGAGATCGATGGCCGGGGCCGGAGGGGGAACTTGGTTCTCGCTCCGATCCCTCCTTCGATTATCAAGGCCAATGCGGGCATCAGGGGCGTTCTTCTGTAGCTGCTGACGGAGGTCAGCGGTGGCCTGTTCCAATTCAAGGATGATGCCACCTTCGGGCACCAAGAGCCTGTTGGAGGCCTCAGCCCCGTTGGTTTCGCCGGGGGCTACATGGTTCTCCTCTAGGGTCTTGGATTGGGCACGAGTGGTTCTTCCCATTTTTGGTAAGTGTTTTGTGCTTGGTAGAGGGGGAGGGTTTCTCACTTGATTGTTCTGACCTCTCAATGAGAGCACCAAATGATGGATAGTCTACCCGGGGGGTATCTTATCCGAGGGGTTATTGCGGGAATAACTTAGAGAGAAGTCAGAGCAAATAGGAGGAGAGAGAGTCTATTTATTAAATGAACTCGAGATGTGGAGTTGGGATGTAGATCATCATTCACAAGGAGAAATGGGCTGCTATTTATAGCAGCAATAAATGCGATGAGAGGACACGTGTCAGTAATCCAACGGCCGAAGGGTCACATCAACCGGTTGGCACCGGCAGTGGTACGTTTACCGCATTGAATGCGGTTGGCGGATGTGACGCGGCATTAAATGCGGTGGTTGGCTGTCTCCAAAGGAATCTTCGATGATTGAGCGTGTCTGGCCGAAGGCTCCTGGTGTAGCCGAGGGCTCCATGCGACCAGGACCCCTGTGTAGCCGAAGGACTTATGTAGCCGAGGGCCTTATGTGACCGAAGGCTATGATGCCGAGGGCTTGACAATGCCGAAGGCTCATGTTTTTTGCCGTTTTCTCCCAGTAGCTTTTTATGCCAGAGAAGGCTATTCTGTGAGTTTTGGAGCCTTCGGCCAAGGAGGCCGAAGGCACCCCAGCGTGTATTCTGGGCTACTTTGAGGCTTGGGCCGTTGTATTTGGGCCTGAGTTGTTCCCTGAGCCCAATGGACTTATGTAGGAGAAGTAGGAGTCTATGGGCCGGGGGTTCCTGGGCCATATACTCCATCACGGTCTATGGACGATGCGGTCCATGGACGATGCGGTCCATGGACGATGCGGTCTATGGACGATGCGGTCCATGGACGATGCGGTCCATGGAGATCAGGCGATATCTTCTTTCTTGGACGTCACGTGCCTTTGGCCGATGCGGGTGTCCCGCTAATGTCTTTTGGGCCGTTGAGTATGTGGGCCATGGGGGCCAGGCCCGTATACTCTATCAGTTATAAAATACACAGAGACCGTACATTTATCAGACCAGACTAGATCAATTCAGACTAGACCAAATCAGACCAAATTAGACTAGACCAACAACCTCAGCCCCAAAAAACTTTCTAATTCTACTAAAAATACTCCCTCCGTCCCATTGAACTTTACCAACTTTCCCCTGTTGTTGTCTAAAAAAACTTTATCACTTTCCTATTAAAGCAACTAATATGTGGTTCCACACATTCATTTCTCTTCTATACAAATCTCAACCACATAATTTTTACTATTCTTATTTATCACCAATTTTGGAGACAAAGTCTACCTCAATCCTACCGGGGACGGAGGTAGTACTTGAAATGGAGGCTACAGGAGACGATTCCAATCACGAAAGGCTGACATTTCTGGCTTTATCTTGCCTAAAATTTCGGCCCAGAATAATTTTGCCTAAATACTAACCCTAGATCGTCGATGTATATATGAAATTTTCTTCAGTGAGCTAAGCTCCCGCAGCCACTGTATATTTTTTCTTCATCCTCTTCCGTCTTTCCGGACTTATGATTCATCCCTCCTGCTCCGACTTCGTGCCCTCCTTCCTCTAAGATCCCATCCACTAAATCCCCTCTCCCATATCATCTCCTGTCCCATCTATCCTCACAACCGCTTCATCGCTTCGATGTACCCTCACCATCACGCCGTCGTTCCGATCTGCCTTTACTGTCGCTCCATCGGTCCGATCTGTCCTCAATGACTTAATTAAGAATCTGATTGATGATCGTCGATCCGGTTTATCCTCTATGTCGAAGCGGGCTGTGTGCACCTATGAGGTAATTTTTCTGTTATGTTCTGATTTTTAATAACATAAAATTCTTTTGTCAGCAGTTCACGTTAATAGAGAAACGGAATCTATGAATATTAGAGGGAAATGTATGATTTTAGTTAACTATTGGATTTGCCTTTATTTCGGTTTTACCTAAAAATTTGATTTTTCATGCTATTCAATTGTCCCGTTTTTGCATATTCTGTTTTATTTCACTGTTATATGTATCCCTTTATTTGTATTTACAGAGTATGTTAAATATATTTATGCCAATATTAATCTTGAAAAATTTACATCTCATGGTGTCCAAAGGGAGAGGAGGAAGAAGAAACCAAAGGGAGAAGCAAGAAAGGAAGGAAGAAGGGATCAATAAAGAAAAAGAAGTAAGTAAAATGTAATATTGTTACTATACTATTACTACATACTTGATGTTATACGGAGTATATCTTTATTTTATATTTATTTAAATTTTATGATAAAATATAACTTTTTAATCAAACATATTTTTTATTCCAATCATGTACGTCTTTATCATTATCAGTAGAGAAGGCAGTTTGACATCATCAGTTTGGAGCTAACCTTTACTTATGCCAAGTTAGTTTAGAATCACTTAAAATGCCATTTTATGTGCAAAATAGAAGCAAAGTTGTATTTTTAAAATCACTGCATTGCTGTGTTTAATATCTAATGTTTTATGTTCTTATCTTTGACACGATGATGCACATTTGTATCAATTTCAGGTTTTGTTATGATGTTTAATGAATTGGTTTTGTGTTTTTCATGGGTTTCACATTTCACAAATGAGCAGATAATCCAAAAAAATTCTCAAAAGGAAAAAATATAATTCGTGAGTTTGTGTAAATTCTTTTCAAAATGCTCAAAAGCAGCATCTTATCATTTATAAAAACATTTGATAGTTTTAGAGCAGCATACAAATGTCTAATCTTTGATGTTTTTCATGGATTTAGGTGTTACATGCTTACATATTGACTGAATTGAACAAAAAAAGAGGTTTATCCAAAAAAATCAAAAAAACTTGTAATGGGAGAGTTAGTGCACACATAAAAAAATTTACATACCATGAGTATGGTTCAATGCAACAGATTAAATATTTATAGCTAGGGGCACTAAACAAATAATGTTTGTGTTTATAGCATATACTAGAATATGGTCGATCTTAAATCATCACCTCTTAACATTGTTCAATATATGCGCATTTAATGATAGAAAAGAAAATGAACCAAAGTAATATTTCTGGAGAGAAATTTTATAAAATTGTACCCCGCATTTGTTAGATGACACCAGATTAAAGTAAAACTAGTACTTAATTTCAAAAGGTTGAATATTGATAATCTGCTCTCACGATAAATAAGTTCTTCTAGCAATTATCAACTGCACATCTGTATAGACCATATTCATTTACGCGTTTGGTTTGTCTTCAGCGCGTACCCAGCGTTGTTTAAATGAAGCTCATAATCCGGGTCCAAAATTTTGCCAGGACCTCAATTTTTATCATGAAACAAGGTTTAAAAAGACGGGTTCGGGTGTCAAGGCTGTTTGTTCCTAAGAGGCATGGTGTAAGCCTCAAAATATATAGACATATAACACTTAAAAACAGTTAAACTAGTACTCCCTCCATCCCAAAATAATTGTCGTGTTTGCTTTAGCACAAGTTGTAAGAAAGTGGTTAAAAATGCGAAAGTTGTGGTTGAGATTTAAGTAGGAAAAAGTGAATTGACATGAGCTACACATTCTTGCCATAAGAGGAAACAAGACAATTATTTCAGGACGGAGGTAGTAACAAACAACTAAAGAAGTAAAGGATATATCCATGTGAGCTAATGCCAGTAACTGTGAAGTCCAAAAGTGTGAAACACAAACACGTATGAGCTAATACCAGTAAGTCTTTAGAATTCAAGCACACAAACAGAAACAACACACATAAACAGACATATCACACACAGAAACATCACACAAAAACTGAAAGATGAATAAAAACTTGAAGACTTAGGGTTTATTGTGGCTACATGTTTAATTAATGGACTTCTATTTAAATAAGTACTCTGGGCCTTATATTAAATGAAATGTCTTGGGCCCTTTTTAAGTTACTGCACATTAAAAACAGAGAAACACATGAAAAACGCCTCAAGGCGTACGCCTCAACTTTTGAGACGTAAGCCTCTTAACCCGCCTCTTAAGCGCCTTTTTAAACCATGAATGTAAATAAAAAACCTCAAAACCTATCAGACAAATTTCTTTGTTTTAGTAAAAGATTAACTTCAGTTCAAGGTATAATGTCACATTTTGTTACTCTAGTTTAAGTAAGAGTAATAGTTTGTTACTTTTTTATGGATTATATGAATAGAATTGTAATTTTTTAATATACATCAGATATGCTTTTTTTAAGGGAAAAGGGTCAAATAGGCCCTCGAACTTACATAAAAAGGTCAAATAAGCCCTTATATAGGAGGCTCTGTCCGGCCGTCGCCATTTGGGACGGTTCCCGGTGGAATTTTTTGATGAATTTTTTTGAGCATCTTATTCATTAAGTCTAGTTTACTCATACCAAATTTCAGCTAACAATTCAACCCCGGAAGGCATTCAAATTAATATATGTATATGTGTGTGTGTTCGTGAGACCTGTGTAATTGTGTATCAAATTTGAAAGTTCGGGACTTACTAATTACTGTCTTATACAGCTTAATTTTAGGTATAAAAATAGTCTATGTCTTCACATGTCACCCCCCTAAACATTTATACATCATTTGGTATTTTATAAAATCGGATAAGGTTTTATGCAACAAACAAATTTCTAAAAATATCATTCACTTTACAGTTAAAGCATCCAAAGTCCTAAAGTAACGTATATATCAAGTTAGTATCATGATAGCTTATATGATTCCATAAAGGAGTCTATAGAGTTCTATAGAGCTACTCCAATTGAAGGAAGGATTGTATCTATTTGCTGTCCCATATATCTCTTGCATCAGAAAAGCAAGAAGTTGTATCCCAAATCCCTCATGCATCAGAAATGTTAGAAGTTATGTCCTAAATCCCTCATGCAACAGAAAAGTAAGAAGTGATGTACTTATATTCCAAATCCCTCGCGCTTCTATTAGGGAAGGACGCTACCTATTTGCTAGCTCATTAACATGCTCCAGAAATGGTTTGCTACCATGATTCTAAGTGTGAATACTCACTTCTGAGATTCAAAGAGGTCAATAAGAGAAGAAAAATTTAATTAGGTTGGTGTTAGAGATTAGAAAGGAATGGGAAACAAAATTTAGATTGAAGTAAAAGCAATATTCTACATTTTTCACTTCTAAAAAGGTACAATCTAAACTACTCTTGTTTGTAGAATATGATAAGCTAACAATCCTAAAAAACTACTTCTAATTTCATGCCAATTAAACAGGACAAACTATATTAGTTGGGAGAGTATATTCTAGAAAAAATCAGTAAATTTTAACATTTTAATATAGCTTCTTCAAACATACAGGATGGATTGTAGCCTTGAAGGTACACGTGTAGACGAAATTGCCACTTACTGACAACACAGTCCTAGCCAGTTTCTAGTTTGCATTCTTAAATTTCCATGTTTTTTTTTGCTTGCCCATTGTTATTTATTAATACGCCACATACACACCAAACATCCCAGACACTATGCTTTCCCTTATCATGGGTGGAAATGAAAGATGATGACTGAGATCGGGAACATTTTCTTCTTCCCTAAACAAATTCACGTTGATTGTCGTCTCTTGGTTTATTTGTCATTTACAATTAACTGGTTTTGATTTTAATAAGGTGTTTGAAGTGAAGATTTTGGATAGTCCACCTCACATTTCTGGGCTCCGATCAAGCTTGATTCTAGTCTTGAAGTTAGATTCTTTTGGTGTGATTTGGCGTTCATTTTCTATTGACACGAAAATATATCAGGGTTTTTCCAGTTTCCTATGATATTAATTTTAGCTACATACAGCCTGCTGAATCCCCATTATCCTTTTGATCAGCTAAATCAAATCATCTTACTTGTTTTTTGGTCAACTGCGGTAATTATGTAAATTATTTACATTTACTTGATTCAACAAATGTTCAGTTTTTTACACATTTGAGCTAATTAAGTTATTGGACTGATATTTGTAGGATAGTGGAGATAGCCAACCGTGATAAAGTAAAAGTTGGAGGGGGTGAAGAGAATGAACACTCATTCCAACACGTGCGCTCGGAACTTCCGAGAGAGATTTTGGAAATAATCATCGGTCACTTGAACTTGATGGATAACATCCGCGCTTCTGCTGTTTGCAAGACATGGAATTCTGTTGCCCGCTTTGTCAGAGTTTCCAACAAACCTCCTTGGCTTATGTTCCTCCCAAAGTTTGGTGACTTGGTAGATTTCTATGACCCTTCATTGCGCAAGACCTACTCTGTTGAGTTACCTGAGTTGCGTTCCTCCAGGCTTTGTTACACCAAGGATGGATGGTTGCTACTCTACAAGCCTAGAACCCAACGCGTTCTTTTCTTCAATCCCTACTCTCGACAATTAATCAATTTGCCCAAACTAGAATTGACGTACCAAATTGTTGCGTTCTCTGCTGCTCCTACTTCTCCCAAGTGCATTGTGTTTACTGTTAAGCATATCAGCCCGACTTTGGTTGCCATTAGCACTTGTTTCCCTGGAGCAACTGAGTGGACAACAGAGCATTACCAGAATCGCTTACCATTTGTGAGCAGTATATGGAATAAATTGGTTTTCTGCAATGGATTGTTCTATTGTCTGAGTCTGACAGGATGGTTGGGGGTTTATAATCCAGAGCAGCATTCGTGGGTTGTTCGAGTTGTTCCTCCACCTAGATGCCCGGAGAATTTCTTTGTCAAGAACTGGTGGAAGGGGAAATTTATGGCAGAACATAATGGAGACATTTATGTCATATATACTTGCTCTAGTGCCAACCCAGTGATATACAAGTTAGACCAAGCTAATAGAGTCTGGGTGGGGGTGCAAACGCTGAGTGGGTTGACACTGTTTGCAAGTTTCTTGTCATCCCAAGCAAGGACAGATGTCCTTGGGTTGATGCGGAATAGCATTTACTTCTCTAAAGTTCGTTTCTATGGCCGGCGGTGCATATCCTACTCATTGGACCACGACAGATACTACCCCCGAAAACAGTGTTATGATTGGGGGGAACAAGATCCATTTGAAAGCATTTGGATTGAACCACCAGAGGACCTTTCAGCCTTTGTTTAGATGACTTGTGGTCCCAGGTAATACTACTGGTGATAGCTACATTCTGCAATTTTCATGTTAATTTAATCAATGTACATTATTTTTATTTATGTTTTCAAATGTTTTTCTGCATCTGATAGTCATTTGTATGTCTTAGCATGTTTCTTGTAATTGCAGAGCAGCTTGTGTAATACAAATTATAATCATTATTTATACAATGCTATATTTGTAAGTTCTATTCTCATGAGCCCAACGCTAATTCCCATTTTAGTTCTGTTAGGACTGATTTTCAATATGAATCAAGTAACAAGCCTGTTTTATTTAGCGTTTTATTTCGATTATTAGTTTGATATTTGCTTTGTTTATTTACGATTGGTCAACCCCCAATCGTAAGTACTTTCAAATCTTTTTTAGCAACTTGTTTATTTTTGTGTTATAGGTGTACATGTAACTACTCCCATGTAAATCGTAAGTAGTCATGTTTTATTATGTTATACTCTCTCCGTCCCAATTTGATGGTCTCATTTCTTTTGGACACAAATTTTAATAAAGTGATTGAAAAGGTTAAAGTTGTGGTTGAGATTTGAGTAGAAAAAAATGAAATGATGTGAACCACATCTTTCTTTCCAAAAAGGGAAACAAGACCATCATTTTGGGACATCCCAAAAAGGAAATACGGGACCATCATTTTGGGGTGGAGGGAATAATAATTTTCTCTATTTCTGTGTGTGTAGCTGTTAGATTTCACGAGATATCACATTTATCTCTAGTTGGATCTGTTGGTTGAATTGAATGTATCATATTTATGTTTGCAATTCACCTTTGATCAAATTAGTCTTTTTCTAAAACAAAATAGTTTTTTCCAACATTAGCTTTGTATTCAACTCTTCAATTAATATTGTGGATGGTGTACTTCAAATTAATGGAGTGCTCAATATGTTGCATATATTACTTATTATCAAATAAAATCCTTTATATTGAAATTTACTATCTATGCAGGTATATATATTTATGCGATTCTTGAAACCTATGAAGGTCCATAAAATCTATGTGCCTTCATCAACAATCTAGGACTCAAGAGGTCCTGCAGTCAAAAGTAAACAAAAAAAGAGACTGTTGAACAACTTCGTGTTAGTCTTGTATTATTTTCAAGATGAATGCTCTTGTTATCCATAAATCTGATCCCAACTTGTTTATATGTCATCCCATCCTTTAAAATTTGTACTTTTTCGATCATATTTATGTTTAGTCACAATAATTTTACAAGTGATGTCTCACCTTAACACATTGTCCAATTTTGCGTTTTTTGCTTTTCAGTTAAATTTTAGATTTCTAACTGGAGAATAAGATTGAATATATGAATACACCCTTCAACTTTATGTGAACCCTTCAAGTCTTCAACGTCAGTTGGGAATAATTAAATTTCCCCTTTTAAATTTTGGTACAAAATATCTAGAAAGCTTTCAATATCTTGAAAGCTTGAACTATATATCTCGAAAGCTTGATATATATGCACACACATTTAATCAATGTATTACGCATATATATACACACATTGTCACATTAAATCATTTGTATAAAAAGCACAACCTCCGTTCCACTAAAAGGTTCTCTTTCCTATATGACATGTTTATTTAGACAATTAAATAGAGTAATACGAGTAAATTTTGTTAAATAATTTTGATAAGTATATAATGCTACATCTGTCCCATGTTATGTGTCTCCCATGTTATGGTTGAAAAGGTAAAAATTGTTGAAATTTGAGTATAGTAAAGTGAAATGTTGTGAATCACATATTTCTAAAATAAGACAAGTAAAATAGGACGGAGGGAGTATAATGAAGTCATTATGATAATTGTGATGATTAAATTGTCGTTTTAGAGTGTTAATTGTTTTTTAAAATAGAAACAAGAGTATTTATACTGGATATTCAAAAACGGAAAGTGGGAACCTTAGCTGAGAAAATGTATTTGTTCCAACTTTATATTCTAGTGTTTTAAAATTTTGTCTATATTATGGTGTGTAATTGCTCCAAATGAAAATTGAAAGCATTTGTTTTCTATGATGTAGTTTATGTGTTTTGCATCCATTAAATACGGGAAAGCTTTCTATGATGTAGTTTAAGGAAATGACCTAAAGAGGGTTAAAGCTTGAGTCGGTATTTTTGTTTGAATAGAGTAGTTATTGTTAAGTTTGAAAAATATGTGTCAATAGTCAATAACTCAATACTCAATAGTATTGTCATATTAATTTCTAGTAATGTCAAAACATATTAGTTCTACCGTACAATGTGTACATTGATCAACATCATTTTTCAAATGAGTAAAGAGTAAGTTTGGTACTTGAAGAGGGTCAAATAAGTTCTTATATAAGAGACTCTGTCTGGCCGTCATCACTTGGGGCGGTTTCCGGTGGAATTTTTTGACGAAACTTTTTGAGCATCTTATTCATTAAGTCTAGTTTACGCATACCAAATTTCAGCTAAAACTTCAATCGAGAAGGCATTCAAATGAATTCTTGAAGATAACTGCGCAGTTAAAAGCGCAATTATTTTAAGAATTTTTTTGAATGCTTTCCCGATTAAAGTTTTAGCTGAAATTTGATATGAGTGAACTAGACTTAATGAATAAGATGCTCAAAAAATTTCATCAAAAAATTCCACCGGAAACCGCCCCAAATGGCGACGGCCGGGCAGTAAGGACTTATTTGACCTTTTTTTATGCAACTTCGAGTACCAAACTGACCCTTTACTCTTTTTCAAATAGTTGGAATGTCAAAGTTCTACATAAATTATTTGTGGTACCAAAAGCTTATTAGATGTAATTGGGTAATCATTCATTTTTTGAAAGGGAACACTATTATGTTAATATCATTATGATTGTGATCATTACAACAAACTTGAAGAGACTAACGCTGACAACAATTATCTGTAATCAACTAGTATTATCAATTTTGCGGTCAAACTTAAAAATGATAATCAAATTGTTTGGTGGAACAAAAATTGGCTTACAAGCCTTAATATATACAAAAAGGGAAAACTGTCAAATAGGTCCTCGAACTTTCACAAAAAAGTCAATTAAGTCCTTCTATGGGAGACTATGTTTGGTCATCGCGATTTGGGGCGGTTTCCGGTGGAATTTTTTGATGAAATTTTTAGAGCATTTTATTCATCAAGTCTAGTTTACTCATACCAAATTTTAGCTAAAAATTTAATCGGGAGCGCATTCAAAGTAATTCGAGAACGCAAAAATGCGCAGTTATCTTCAAGAATTAATTTGAATGTGTTCCCGATTGAATTTTTAGTTGAAATTTGGTATGCGTAAACTAGACTTGGTGAATAAGATGCTCAAAAAATTTCATCAAAAAACTCCACCGGGAACTGCCCCAAATCGCGATGGCCGGACAGAACCTCCTATAGAAGGACTTAATTGACCTTTTTATGAAAGTTGGAGGATCTATTTGACAGTTTTCCCTACAAAAAAACACAAACACCCCTTAAATGGATTGATTTGGTTAATTTTTATTATCAGCCCAAAAAGTAAACCAAACAATCTTAGAGGGAATGAGCTTCAAGACTTTTCACATTATTCACTCATACATTTAGTCAAGTGAGAGAGAAACCTGAGTTTCTTTCTCTAACTCTTTTTTACATACTACTTCGTACTTGATTTGAGAATTGGATACTAAGTGCCCAACTGCCCATCAATAATGTTAAAACCATTTGTTACAAACGGCGTAAAGTTTAAAAAACCAAACAACTAATAATTATCTAGCATTTTTACTGTAATTAACAAAACACGTTTTCTTCAAGGAGGAACAAAACACGTTGTTAGTTAAGCACTACATGCATACTTCATCATACAATATTTATTTATTTATTTATTTACATGTGAGCTTGATAATAGTATAATTAATAAAAGTGTAGTTTTAAATATGAATTTACTCATTTTAGTGAAAAATATTTTACTAGCAAAGTTAACATACATATATTTAAAATGCAAATACCCTTTTTGGTAAATATACATTCAATCAGTCACCTCAGCCAAAATATAATCAAACACTCTCACTTCAGCAATTTAAGCAATTTCAGTCATTTCAGTCATTGCAACCATCATATTCACACCATTATGCCATATCATATATTCATATTCATGTCATTATTATTTCGTTGTTTGCACTTGAGTCCTCCCAATTACTTTACTCATCAGCACACACAAAAATGTCACCATATGAATAAAAACAGTAGACGCTTGAGGTAAGGTTGAACAAGAAGAGAGGAACACCCACCGTGTCCTGCAGACCGCCGTAACCAGAACACAACTTACGTTCAACATTGCCCACAATCAGCCAAATTCATTTTGATAGCAACTTCAAAAAAATCTTCAGTTTGAGTAAATATTTGCTCTATCCACAGGGGTGGAGACAGGGACGAGGGGCTGGCGGTGGCCACGGCCCCTGCAAGAAAAAAAATCTTAAGTATATATTATATATAAATACTTTTAATCTGTAGAAAGTATGTTGATATTTTAAACTTTGGTCCCTGCAATGTAAAATTTTTAAGGACCGACCCCTTTAACCCTAAATGTTTGGCTCCGCCAGTGTCTATCCATAAGCATGAAAATAACTGTTAACAAAGGAAATTGATAAAAGCTTAAACGTCGTTGTGTATAAAAAATTGATGTTGAAGACTAAAATGAAGAGGAAATTGCTCATTGTAGGATTAAACTAGACGGACTAGCATTAAATAAAATAGGGTGATATGTATGATTTTCTTAAATAAGGCTAAACATTACTTTTCTAATTTTAGTTTATAACTTTAATTTAATTAATTAATACAATTGGCCATCTAGTTCCAATACATAATCAAGGTCAGATCGTTATGGCGGTTTGACGGGGGATTCTGGTGGTGGCAGTAATTTGGTGACGTTGACAACGGTGTGATTTTGGCAAATTTCGGGACAAAAAGTTTTGGTGACCGACGAAGTTGGTTTGCCCTATAAAGTTACTACATCTATCTCATTTTATGTATCCTACTTTGACTTGACACAATTATTAATAAAGTGATTGGAAATGTATAAGTTGTAGTTGAGATTTGAGTATAATAAAGTGAAATGACATCAACCACATGTTTCTTTTCAAAAAAGGGAGGGGATACTTATTTTGGGACAAAAAAAAGATGATAAGATAAATAAAATGAGACTGGAGGGGGTATATTTTTGTTCAATCACAAATAAAAAATCTTATTTATTGTGTTTTGAATTAATAAGTCTAAATTTAAGAAAGGGGAGCTCTTCGGTGCATCAATATTATGGAATGTTTTGGTGCATTTCATAGTTGTCAGTATGTCATTGGTCCAGCTCATCTACTCTTAAAAAATACTCCCTCCGTCCCCAATTAAATGTCCCATTTTACCATATTGGGATGTCCCTATTTAAATGTCTCATACCTCATTTGGTAAAGTTTGTGTGGCTCAAAATCATTCTTACTTTATTCTTACTTTATTCCTACTTTATCAATTAATATCAACCACACAAACCTACTTTTCTTAAAACTCGTGCCACCCTCTTTCGGGACTTTTAAAAGGGGACGGAGGGAGTACGTGCATTCAATTTAAAAATTGCATTGTGAACCCTATACTACCTAAAATGGAACAGTAAGCACTTTCCCCCTGTTCAGAACACTGCCTCCTATCGTTCTCATTTCATTTTCGGTCTTCACTTCGACAGAGCAAACATGGCAGATCAGAATTCCGACGAAACTTCTAGGACGTGAGCATATAAAGACTTTCTTTTTGTACAGTTCCAGAATCGATCGACGTCGGATGAATACGGACGAGTTACGGTCGGTCGATGTGCTCTCTTGAAAGGTAAGTTTCCTTCTCTCTTCAGCTACGCACTGCTTGGTATGTCTTTCGTCTTTATCGTGTCTATTCTCTCTCTTTCAATTCATCCAGATTTCGTAGTGCACTCCATCGCAGCACCGGCAGTAATTTCATCCCACTCCGTTTCTGTCACTGGGTAATTTTTTTCATTTTTCCTTTTCATTTAGTTCACAACCTACATTCACTGAATTGAATCCCCTTTTGTTATACTTCATTTTATTGCTACTTAAGGTTATTAGACTGAAAGGGGTTTCTACACCAAATTTGTATTGCAATTGGGGACCTTTTTCATTCCTCCAAATCTAATAATTTTCCTACAAATTTTGACTGCCCTTGAACTGAACCCCCTGTTGTTATTCTTATTTCTATTGCTACTTAGGGTTATTAGTGCTCTCACAGAAGGGATTCCTTCACCAGATTTCTATTGCAATTGGGAACATAAGACGTTTGATAGTGAAAGGTAAGGGATTTTGTTCCTATTATATTTCCATTTCATATCCCCCTATTTATATTTAA